AGGACGAGCAATATATATCTATCTTGAACATTATGCATGGAAAAAAAATGTTGTTGCTTCAATTAAATGTCGACGTCAAGGGCTGTCACAAACATATAGTTCATTCAATGATATTTTTATTGGACCAAATATCTGGATTATTAAAACAACTATCTGATAGTTCTATCAGATAGTTGTTTTAATAATCCAGATATTTGGTCCAATAAAAATATCATTGAATGAACTATATATGTTTGTGGCAGCCCTTGACGTCGACGTTTAATTGAAGCAACAGCATTTTTTTTCCATGTGTAAATAATAATTAATTTATAAATTACTCACCGCATATCGTTGCTCCGTCGCTCGATGCTGCTTCAGATCTTCTTTTTCTCTTTTGTTCATCCTTTGCTGCTTCTCCGTGGCACTTACACTCACTCACGAAAACACGATTAATTATGGTTAGTTGTATAAGCAGCGATCGCGAAATACTTGCACGGCACTCCCGATCGCGGAAAAATTACACGAAATATACACTTTATTATATCATAAGAAAGTAATACGGAAAGTACGATTCGCACTCGACATTTACACGAGATCAAAATCATGTGCATCGTTGTAAGAATAATATAGCAATCGTTTAATTAATAATTATTTTATGCTCGCATTTTAGAAAAAGTTATCGGACAAAATATATTTGACTATAAACGTTATCAAATAAATAATTATTATCCGTAGGATCAATGATATCGAAGGATCGTAACAAAATTTACAATTTTTATCCCTATTTCTTCAATTTTTATTTGTAATAATGGATTATCGCGCTTTGATAAAGATTTATATTTGCAATTATTTATATTCGCAAAATAGTTTCGTGTCGTTTATTAAAACTAAATTAATTGTTAATTGTAATAATCATAGCGATTTCTATTCTGATACTAGTCGCGATCGCGTTTAGGAATAGAATTTAAGAATATACGAAGCGTTTCGTATCACTACGTTACTGCTCGAGTATTGCCATAGTTATATTAATTACTCAATTTTGCGATTCAATCGTTTTACGCACTGCGCGTCCCCAATCCGACTTATATTTAAATCCTCAAAAAATTGAACGATAAAACATTAAATGAAATATATTTGATTTAAAGTATCATAAAAGAAATAATAATGGTCCGTAAAGATCGCAAACAAAATTTATTATTAGAGATTCCTGTCACTACAATTAAAATAAAACTTGTAATATTTTATATATGCGTTATATTGCACGATGATTTCGAACGAATCGCACTATCGAGAAAATGAGAAAAAGGACGAGCAATATATATCTATCTTGAACATTATGCATGGAAAAAAAATGTTGTTGCTTCAATTAAATGTCGACGTCAAGGGCTGTCACAAACATATAGTTCATTCAATGATATTTTTATTGGACCAAATATCTGGATTATTAAAACAACTATCTGATAGTTCTATCAGATAGTTGTTTTAATAATCCAGATAGTAATAATCAGGTAGTTTTATCAGATAGTTGTTTTAATAATCCAGATATTTGGTCCAATAAAAATATCATTGAATGAACTATATATGTTTGTGGCAGCCCTTGACGTCGACGTTTAATTGAAGCAACAGCATTTTTTTTCCATGTGTAAATAATAATTAATTTATAAATTACTCACCGCATATCGTTGCTCCGTCGCTCGATGCTGCTTCAGATCTTCTTTTTCTCTTTTGTTCATCCTTTGCTGCTTCTCCGTGGCACTTACACTCACTCACGAAAACACGATTAATTATGGTTAGTTGTATAAGCAGCGATCGCGAAATACTTGCACGGCACTCCCGATCGCGGAAAAATTACACGAAATATACACTTTATTATATCATAAGAAAGTAATACGGAAAGTACGATTCGCACTCGACATTTACACGAGATCAAAATCATGTGCATCGTTGTAAGAATAATATAGCAATCGTTTAATTAATAATTATTTTATGCTCGCATTTTAGAAAAAGTTATCGGACAAAATATATTTGACTATAAACGTTATCAAATAAATAATTATTATCCGTAGGATCAATGATATCGAAGGATCGTAACAAAATTTACAATTTTTATCCCTATTTCTTCAATTTTTATTTGTAATAATGGATTATCGCGCTTTGATAAAGATTTATATTTGCAATTATTTATATTCGCAAAATAGTTTCGTGTCGTTTATTAAAACTAAATTAATTGTTAATTGTAATAATCATAGCGATTTCTATTCTGATACTAGTCGCGATCGCGTTTAGGAATAGAATTTAAGAATATACGAAGCGTTTCGTATCACTACGTTACTGCTCGAGTATTGCCATACAAATGATAAAGAAGACCATACATGTAAACAATAGGGCCGCCAAGGCCGAACACTATGTTATTGAAAAATCGCCGAAATATTTCATGTACTATACTATATTATATGTATACCCGGAATATTAAAGTGTATAAAGTATATTTTAAATTACGATTAATTATTTATTAAACAATTGATATATCACGAAATCTTTCGTTGTGTTAAATTACTCGATTTTGTGATTCTATTGTTTAATTGCTTGATCTTAATCCGAATCATATTTAGATACGTCAAAAGTCAAACGATAAAACGTCGAACAAAATATATTTAACTTCAAATATTTTTGAAGAAATAATTATTGCTTATAAGGATCGCAACAATAATTCATAATTTTAATTCCTGTCACTTCAATTCTTGATTAAATGTATATATACATCATGCAAAATATGCACTTCGAGATCTATCGTAGCAATATAATTACGTTTAGTTATAATATTAAATTATAATTTTTATTTAAGATATGTGAAAGATAACTAATTATTAATCTTATCAAATTATTTCTCGATACTTGTCGCGATCGCGTTTAGGAAATTTAACGGAGCGTCTCGCACTGTTACTTTACTGCTCGCTATCGCCGTGCGAATGATAACACGTAGGAAAGGAATTTGAGCGTCTCGCCCCACTATAGTTCTATTCAAGTGTCTCCGTATAAATCATAACAAGGCCGTGATATGTAAAACGTAAACAACAGCGCGCCAATGTTTACGCCGTCAAGGCTGAATATCAGGTATTGTTAATTTGCTATCAAAATATTTTACGTATTATGACGTATATATGCAAAATATGAAATTATGTATTTTAAATTATAGATCAATTATTTATTAAACGATTAATGTAACACGGAACTTATCGTTATGTTACTTATTCGATTCTGCAATTCGATCATTTTACAGCGCGTCCTTAATCCAAATTATATCTAGATTGTCGAAAAGTCAAATGACATAGCATTGCTATATCATTTATATGTTTGACTCTGTGTATTATTCAAGAAATAATTATTGTCTGTAATGATCGCAACGAAAGGATGATTTATAATTTGGTTTCTTATTACTTCGATTCTTATTTGATTAAATAAATAAATAAATTACGAAATATGCGAGTCGATGAGTCGCGATTGTGTTAAAAAAAAAAAAAGGAATCCGACGGAGCGTCTCGCACTATTACTGTCCTGCTCGAGTGTCGTCACGCGAATGATAACAAAGTCGAGGCACGTAAATGAGAGCGCGCCAATGTTTATGCCGCCAAGGCCAAATACCATGTTATTGATAATTCGCTGCCAAATTGTTTTATATATTATAACATATACGTATATACATATGGCGGAATATTAAATTATTTATACAAGTATTTTAAATTATAGATCTCAGTTATTTATTAAACGATTAATGTACCACGGAGCTTATCGTTATGTTAATTATTCGGACCTGCGTTTCGATATATTGTTTTATTGCACGTTTTTAATCCAAATTATGTTTAGATAAAAATCAAATGTGATAAAGTCAAATAATAAAGCATCGCGGACAAAATATATTTGATTCTATATGTTGTTAAAGAAATTATTTTCCGTAAAGATCGCAACTAAACGATAATTTATAGTTTCGTTTTCTATTACTATTATTGATTCTTACTTAATTAAAGAAATGAATTATGCACTTTGAAACCTATCGTCGCGATATATGTAGTTACATTATCTGCAAATGTGTTAATTAATCATTAATTATAGCAAATAATTACCCGGTACTGATCGAGATCGCGTTTAGAAAAGAAATTTAACGGAGTGTCTCGCGCCACTACTTTTCTGTTCGAGTGTCGTCGCGCGAATGATATCAGAGCCGTGGAACGTAAACAATAGCGCGCTAATGTTTACGCCGCCAAGGCCGAGTATCACGTTATTGTGATAATTTGCTGCCGAAATATTTTACGTACTATATGACATATATAAACGCGGAATATTAAATTATACTAGCATTTTAAAGTACAAATTAATTATTTATTAAACGATTGATATAGCATGGAGCTTATCGTTATGTTAAATAATTACTCGATTTTATGATTCAATCAATAAATTTGAAAAGGATTTTTAATTAATAATGCAACATTAAATCGATTTCATTCAATTTATCTCATTTTATCACATTTATTATTATTCTATTATATTATATATATTTTTTCTTCAGCAATCAGGATCAAACCCATTAGAAACCAACAGAAATTTAAATAAAATTTTTTGCATGTCTATTTTATTATTCTAAGATTCAGAATTTCTATCTTCATTTTTCGTGTCATTCATACATATATAATATATACAATCTATATGTATATGTATCATTAACTTGATATAAAATAATAAAATAATTAATTTTACGCTTCAAGTAAATTAAATAATAATGAATAAATTAAATAATTAAATTAAATAATTGTCCTCTTAATTTTCCTAATATTTATTTTTTTAATGACTCCTCGTGTACCATAAAGATGTTCCTGTGTTAATATCAATTAACATAACTTTTATATTTCATGAAAAGAGTTCTACAAAAAAGACCAATTATATAAGATTAACTGTAAAAATAAAATAGGCATCATGGTATTGTGTGTGTTACCATTTTTGTAAAGGAATAAAATAAACAATATGACTTAAAACTATTAAGATTTTACATTTAATTGGTATATTTCTTCATATATAGATACATGCGAGATATCGATGATATATATAATATATTAATTGGACATTGATTCCTGCAGAATAGTTATGCATCGAGCATGAAAACATCAATTATATATTAAATATTTACAAAAGTACAAAAGCTTACAAAACATCGATTACTATACAGCAAACTCTTCTAGTCACTTTTTATAGTTTTCTTTTTCTACACATCGAAAACTAACTTTAATGGCGGCATAAAGCCGATATAATATAGTTTTTTAATCGTATCTAAATTGTAATAATCGTATTATTTTTCTAACTTAGAAAATCAGACTTTTAGTTTTCCGGGAGCAATTAACTAGCTATATATTTACTGCTTACCTAGGCCTTTTATGTATTTATTAATAATGGTAGATATTATTTTGATGGATAAAAAATCATTCCTTTTGATCAATATTATTTATTGTTTAAACACCACGAATTTTGCGTGTCTTACGAGGTGTTTATTCTTATCGCACGTTCAAGATAAAATTATTAATTCCTATAAGTAAAATAAAAAATATATCCTACTAAACATATGCTACAGATGATTTGCTGCATTGTTTTGATTCTGACAATGGACAGGAACTTTATGAATGTCTTGTCTTGCTTTAATATTAGATTACTATTGCTAGCAAGATTTTGCGAAATTAATTATGCTTAATTACTGTTGATTTTAACTACCAAAATATGTATTGTAGCTTGTATATCAAATAAAATTTGCCTTGTATAATTTTTTAGAGACCGTAATTAATATTTAATATTAATAAAACATTGCATTAGTTTACAAATATTTTATCTGCAAGCCAAATTAGCACCTTTGTCAATTTATATGTCTTTCACAATTGATATGTATTTTATAAAAAATAAAATTGTACGCATGTGTTTCTTTAAGAATGCACATCCATTGAATATGGATTATTCCGTTGTATAATTATTGTATTTTCCATTGCATAATTATTTGTATTGATCGTATTTTATTAATTTTACACACATAACTTGTAATTTAAAACTTTTCCCAATGAAAAAATTTTAATAATTATTGCAAACTGATCAAAGTATGTTACTGATAATCACACATTCATTTCTTTGTAAATACAATATTTACTTCAGAAATATTGATTATTTTCACATCCAATTAATTTTTTGTTTTGCAAAGGTGCTTACGTTAGTCTTCCGCGCAAAATTTTTCTAAAAATGTATCAACATTTAAAATTTCGTCTGATTTGGCAAATCCTTCTAAGTATAATGTGCATTTTGTAAAGAATATTATATAACATTAATATATTTTTAATATTAATATAAAATTCCTGTAAATGTTTTTCGTAATGGTGTTTAATTCATCGTATAAAATTTTTGCGGAAAGAATGTCTATATTTAATGTATAAATGTACCAAATTCCGTATATAAAATTTGCTTCTGTGGACAACGAACTTTTATGTATCTTTCCGTATTGTGTGTAAGTTTTGAAATATATTTTATGTATTACATGTAAAAACGCATTAGTAAATCAACGTATCTTTCACGAATGATATCAAATTATCAATAGGATATAGATAGAATATATATACTTGTAAATGATATTGAGGAACATTATCTGTATTTATAATTATAATAGATTGCCTACACAATTTGTTTTCAAATGCGATTAGTTCTTAATAAACGATTTTTGTGAGAATGTGTTAAAAAATGATTTATTTATCGAGTTTTTTTCGATTGTCAGGATTCATGGAGGTTCTAATGACGTTCTCGGGAATCTTCCTTATGAGTGCTATGCCTGCGTGTTTCTTGACCACTGGGTGTAACAGGTCGTCGCTTTGACCTTTTGAATTTGGCAATATCTTCACCGAATACGTCGCCAGTTCGAAGAGCGGATATCAAGTCATCGAATTCGCCCTTGTTGTCATTTTGGCCGTTACTGTTTGCTTCGTTCTTTTTGGTTAGCGATATGCTGTTTAAGATACCTTCTCGTGAGTTCTTCCTCTCTATTGTTCTCTTCCGAAGCTGTAATAATAATTTCAATGTCACGAAAAAGTTTTGTGAAATTGTATAGTGAGTAAGATAAACTTTTAAATATAAATACAATATGTATATATATTTATTAATTACAAGATAGAATTGCTTACTTCCTGTTCTTGTTTTGCTCTACGTTCCTCTTCTTCAACCTTTTTTCTCATATTTTCTACATCTTGTCTCGCTTCAGCCAGAGCTTGTAGGAAATTTTCAAAGATGCCGAAAAATTCATCTGGTTGAACACCAGCCGAATCCTCACCAAATAGTCTCACTGCTCGATCAAACTATTTCAATAAAGAAAGATTATTTAAGTAAACATAATTATATTAATGTTATATATAGAGAGGTTCAACAAAACTGAATATTAATATTACATAAATGTTAAGAATAAGTTACCGATTAATTGTAATTTTTCATTCATAAATAACATGTAATGTAATATATGTTATATATATCATATTTATATATCCCATACTTAGATAATAGGCTTAATGTAATTAAATAATAAATAATTTAATTTAGATAATTAATTTAATTCATAAAATTAGAGAGTTCATTGATACAATAGGAATGAAAGCTTTATTTTGCCTCTCAAATAGGAAGAAAACAATTATCCATTTACTTGTTCACAAACAATCAATTTAATATTTTCAATCACTTATTGAGATTATATCAGAACTTAAGCTGATAAAAATATACATACTATGTTTTTAATTTTTAGTCGTGCTTTGCAGACTTTATATGATGGCAGAAACTTCAATACGATACTAATATATGTATATTACAATTATGTTTTGTTACGGTAACTTGTAATAATATATAATAATATAATAATATAATACAGTAATATAATAGCGTAATATAATACAGTCATATACTAACAATAAGTAGATAATTTACATTACTTGTTATTTCCATATATTACTGTGACAAAAAATTTTCACTGAAATTAGAAGTTTGCCATAATTATAATTGATACTACAGATATTCTTACCCTAGTCTTCATGTCTTGGAATAAGTCTTCAGCCTCTGCTAATCTACATGTGGCTTGCGCCTGGAAGTCCCTCATAGCTGGTAAAAACATATCACCCTGAAGTACCTGAGATTGACCTCGATGAAATTCTAAAAAACAAATAAAATAAAAATAGCACAAACGATATAATAAAAATCACTCATTTTCTTCTTCATACATTCTCACATATATACTTTTAAAAAATCATTATCAATTTTATAGAGGCACAGAGAAAAGAAAAATTTTATAACTAGTAATAAGAGCAAGTAAAGAAGTTTTTAAATTATTTCCAGTTCTTAACGTCTTCTTTTATACAAATTCCAATTAATTTACAAAATTCAATTAATATATAATTTTCGTTATACCTATTTCCCTCTGAACATCCTGCAGTCCATTTTTAAGATTAGCGACCTCCTTTTGCAGGTCAGCCATACTGACTCTAGCTGCTGTCCTAACATGCGGCATATCCTCTTCGATATCTAAGACCTCTCTGAATCTAGCTTCGAGAATCTGCACGAGATAATGTAACAAAGTTGTACCCTTTGAGCAAGAAGATTTTGTGTCAACTAGACGATTTAAAGAAGCCAATCGGAAGCCGCATGCGTTACCACGCGCATTTCCGCGGTTTACGTAATTTCCTAACGCCAAGACTAATTCCAAAAGCTTTCTGAGTCTTCTTGATCTGGCCACTTGCCGGCTTGCTTCTAAAACTGCTCGCATCCTCGGCGTCAATTCCGCGATGCTAGCCGCAAATTTCTTTTTGTAATGCAGAGAACGCAATCTCTGCTCATAATGCGGTACTCTAAAAGCAAAAATATATATTATATATATATAATTCGTTTTTGCACACATAAAAAAATTCAGGTAAATCTTGACTTGATATTTAAATAAATATAATGAATAAGTTTATCTTTATAGCAGTAATGGCTAGGAATTCATAATGCTGCATTTATTTCAAAATTCTTAGCAAAACCGAACAATATCCTGAAATGTACTACCGTAACTGACAATAACGAGCAAATATAAATAAAAAAAAAAAATAAACACATAAGAAGGATATAACGAAAAGATGATAAAAGTAAGTACACACACAATAATAGTGATATTTCAAAATTGCATATCTCGAGAACGAAAAGAGAGCGCTACATAATTCAAATCGTGTATTACTTAGGAATGCATCCTCTACGATATATGTAAAAAAAAAAGTAATTTGTGAACTGTAAATTAATGTCAAGATTTTCCGGAATTTGAATTCATTAATAACCAGAAGTCTAATCAAAATGGCTCAAAATGATCATTATAATATTTTTCAGTCTAATAATTTAAAAATAATTTAAGTTAATAAAATTAAAAATACAACGCACTTTGATATTTGATACAAAAAACTGTCGGCTCTATTCTGCAATTCTTTCTGATGAATATCTAACGAGGCGGCCTCCTCCGATGACGGTATGTATTTTAGCAACTGCTCCACCATATCGATATGCAAAATGTTTTGTTGATCCATTGACAATATCGTCCTAGTGATTTCATTGTCAGACATTTTCAATTTCGACAATAATATCGTGCAGTTTTGTGCCCTCCTCGAATCGATCACTGACATCGTTTTCTTATTTTTTCCTAGTGTCCTTAAGTCTTCTATCGAGCCCTCCGTGGAAACACCATTCTTCTGATATGCGCAAAAGATTTTGTCGATGGACTCGAGATCCATTACATTATAAAGTTTACTATCGTCCAACTCAGACCATATTGTGCCTTGCAATTTTTGTTCAGGTATTTTCGACCAATTAAACGACTTCAAAGGATTACTTGGCTGCGGAACGTTCTTTATTATTTCCACCTGCAATAATTAATTTAAATTATATAAATACAAATAAAATATATACAAATAAAATTATCTAACTAGACACAATTACTAATTATGTTGTTCGATGCATCTAATTGTATGATACGTTACATTACGTAACGCATATAAAAAACTGATTATTTAATGATATTTTATTTATATAGTTATTATTAATAATATATAGTTTTTTTATATAATTATTATATATAGTTATAATTATTATTTATTATTATTAATTATAATAACGCAATTTAAATAGAATAATAATAACCTTCATTGGTGGAGGAGCAATTGGCATTAAACAAGGAGGTGGTGGTGGTGCTAATGGAGGTGGTGGCGGTGGTGGTGGAGTAGGTTTTGTCTCAACCTTCTCAAGTACTTCATCCTCCACAATTTTCAGAGTAGCTTTTGCATCGTCTGGTAAACTTCCCGAAGCTACCAACTGTTCTAGACGTTTTCTTTCAGATTTTTCGTTGTTAATTTGTCGCGATAATGTCTCAAGGTTATCTTGCAACTCAGAGATTTTTTGTTTTGTCTCTATGTGCATCGACGTCTCTTTCTCGAGACGTTCTTTGATTCTTGCTAAACTGGCCTCCATATCTTCCTACAAAATGCACATTAATTTAGCGTTGGTTATATAATTTTCATTAGGTGTCTTAATTATATATATGTTTAAATTAACAAAATTAAAAATTGTTACAACTAGAAACTGAAGAAGTTTTTATAATTATTGAAATAAGTTAGAAAAACAATATAATATATAACAATGACAATTATTAACAAAAATATATGTTAAGTTTAACAAATAAATGTATAAAAAAAGAAAATTACTAAAAAGTATATTTTTAATAAAGATAATTATCTTTTAGTACATTAAGCATCATAAAAATGTTAACATTTATTTTCAAAAAGAACTCTAGATGTATAAATAATCGTGACTATTTATAGTAAAAAAATAAATAATGTGCTGAGCATTAGAATGATAGCATTTGACATGTGTCATATATAGAATATAAGATTAATAAAAATAAGATTCATTTCATTGAATAAATTTATATAACAAATAATGCTAAAATGTTATATTATAAATTATTTTTTAAATTCTCAATGTATTACAAAAATAGTTTTAAAGCTAACTGCAACATTTTTCAAATTTTTATAAAAAGATTATCTCGATCAGTTTAGATCAAGAAAATCAAATTTCTTTTATAAATATCTATTTTTTTGAAGATAGAAGATTGGTTGTGTCTGATTTTCAAAATCAATATTAATTTTCAGCCGTACTTTCTCTTGAGTTCTCAGATCTAATTCCTGCTCTTTCTTAGCCAGTCTTGTGGACATATCCAAATTTTCGCGCTCCAGTTCTTCTGCCTTTTTTCTTGCTGCCACAAGTTCCTCTTCTTTTGCGAGAAGGTGGACAATTTCTTTTACATTTATTTCGATCGGAGCTACATCAGGATTTCTTATCAAGCCTGTCTCGTTGCTTTCGGACTGTAGAACGATTTGTTGAACGATTCGATCGAACAGCAACCAATGCTGAGGATGTGAACCGTAATCCACTAAAAAAAAATAATCAGCATTATGGTATATCTTATATATCTTATCATGACACAATCTATTGATCCAAGAACTCACATGGCAATAAAAGACAATGTTCAAGCAAACTAAGAAAATGAGGATAAGCAGCGGTATGACTGAGCTTCCGTCGCAAAAGATCGAACATGGCACTAGCACTCTTAGTATCCACATGCTCCTTCTCAAATTTTCTGGCAAGTTCCTTCTCGTCCTCATTCCTTACCATTTCGAAAAAATCGAGATGCCTATCGAGTGTCTCATTCTCATACCTTCTCAGTTTCTCGATAATAGGCTGAATGCCGA